GTGGTTGTAAGGGGTTTATATAGGTGTTTTTGCACAGGCTATTTATGGGATTAATGGGTGCATGGGCCTAATCAACGTAGGTTTATAAGGTTTATAGGGGTTTCGGGTGCTGTAAGGGGTTTATATAGGTGTTTTTCGGGCTACGGGGATTAAGGGGTGGGCCGAATTGACGTAAGCGGGCTCCGGGTGTACACTGGGGCTTGGGCGCAGGTAGGGGTTTCGGGGTTTATAAGGTTTATATAGGGGTTTCGGGTTCATAGGGGTTGATTTTGGGTTTTGCTTCGGCCGCCCGACATCCCAGGCCCAAAACCTAGACCGAAAGACCCAGAACCCCTTCAAAGAACTCCTTACAAGAACCCCTGAAAAAGACACGATTTTAGAACCCTTTCTCGAACCCTGATCTTGACCCGTATTTAACCCCTACTTAAGCCCTAAACCCCCCAATTTTGATCCGTATATAACCCCGAATTAAGCCCTTATATACCCTAAACCCCACTGTAAACCCCTATAAGCCCTGATCTTGACCCGTATATAACCCCTAATTCAGCCCTTATAGACCCTATTAAACCCCCAAACCCCACTGTAAACCCCTGTACAGAAGCTCCCAAGCCTCCTTTGATGCCTTTTGGCGGCTGCCGGCTCAGCGCTCTCCGTGCAGGCTCGGACAGCTCGGATTGGAGTGGCTTTATATTTATAAGGCTAGGGGGGTTGTAAGGCTCTATTTTACAATCAAACCAATCCGAACTTCACAGCCAAAGCCGCCTGATAGCGGCGAAGCACCCTACTGTGAGGTAACTGTGGCGACACACGCCGAGATAGCCTAGCTATCTGGCCAACCATATCCTCGCACTGGGCCGTGGAATTCACCACTGGGTTCAGCACGTGGGTTGCTCCTTCGCGACTGCAAGACTGTATGATGTCGATCAAGCAGTGGTGAAAATAGTGCAGTTTGGGGATCAGGTTGTAGAGTAAATGTCCCCCCTGCATGCTCCATTCAACCAGCTTGGCGTAAGCCTGAAGTAGGGCGAAGCCGGAGTCTGCCGCCCGTCGCGCCACATCCAGCGGCATAAAAGCTTCAGCCGCATAGAGAGTCTCCATGCAGTGTCTCGCTGCTCGGGCCCCCGCATCGATGTAGCACCAGGGCTTCGCTCTTGCATTTACAGTCGCCAAAACATCGATGACCCAGGGCAGAAAATCCATGAGCACAACACTGTCCTGCAGGGCCAGAGGGGCAAGGGTTTTGGGGGTTTAATAAGCCCAATTAAAACCCCTATAAGGCCTGCATGCACCTTTTACGAAGGTTGGGGTGGCTAGGGATTCGGGTTATGATACTAATAATCCCCAAGAGGCTGCAAGCTTCACACAGGAGGGCCAAAGGGTTTTGGGGGTTTAGAAAATGCCATGAACCCAAAACCCCTATAAGGCCTTTTAGGGAAGGTTGGGGTGGCTAGGGATTCGGGTTATAGGATTCGGGCTCTTGCAAGAACAGTATCCAAAAGGAAAAAAATCCACGGGCACCACACTGTCCTGCCCTTTGCTCCAAGATCCAGTAGCGAAGGTCGCTTTGCTCTTGGCTCCAATGTTTTCCAGGGTCAGTTTTTGGCAGTGCAAGCGCTGCCGTGTCTGCCTCAAATAGACCTGAAGGTGGGCATTCATAGACAGCATCCGTTCCTCATTATTGTTCCCAGCCATAAATTGCAGAACCAACACCAGGGATGACGCCGAAAAGTCCTTGTAGACACCGAGGTTCAGTGTATGAAACAAGTCAACTTTCAGGAAGCTTGTAGCATCGGCAGCGTGCGGGATGGACCGCAGAATCGTAGGAGATTCTTCCCACGGTACGGGGTTGCTCATGCCAGTTGTCTCTATCCACCCCGGATTCCTGCCGAAATTCTCGAAACCACACTTGTCGGTCCCGGCCATGCACCAGCAGCACAGCCCTACAAGGGGCTTTGACGTCGTAGATTTCACATGTTTTTGTACCCTGGCATAGTTCCGAACCAGGGAGCAGGCCTTGGCCTGAAACACCAGATCGCCTTTCAAGCCCAGCACCAGGAACTTCCACGTTTTGTCTTCATGAACGAAACCTTCCCGATAAAGGGTGCCAAACCAATCCGACACCAAGCCAAGCAGTTCCAGAAGTGGTGCCGGGTCCTGCAGGGAGTGTAGCTATCTGGGATAAGCCCCCGCCAACCCCTAAAACCCTATCCGCAACCCTCCCCAACCCCAAAGCCGACAGGAAACCGCTGCGCTCCAAGAGCTTTCTGTGGCGGGGGGGCCCAGGTTGGTGTGTTCACAGTAGCTTCGGGAATTCGGTTGTGTTAGGAGGGTTTTGGGTGCGGGGCTTGGAAAGGGATGCATTTATAGTGATTTTGGGCTTTTAATTAGGCTTCATGACTGTGCTTCTTGGGCTTATATACAAACCCCTCCCCTAAATCTCCTTGGCATGCCCACTTTTAAGCCCATAAAGTGCCCGAAAATTCTATAAAGCCCTCCCTAAAGTGCCCTTATAACCCTATAAAGCCTTAAATGCCCTAAAGTGCCCTAGACCCCTACAGCCCCCCTAATACCCCGGCACGATGTGGCTTCCCGGAGCCTGTCAGGCACAGAATTTTTTGATGTCTGTGGTCCCGTGGTC